TTGTGTATCAGGTCCTCTACTTCTTCTAGACATCTCTCCTCTTCAGCTTTGTTCTCTCTTGTAAATTCCTGTTAGTGTAATAAATACTAGTATTAGCAGGCCAATCGGCTAAGGCTATAGTATTGTTGTTGTTGTTACGATGTTAATTAATTGAGCAGCCACTCACTTCAAGAGGATATTTTAGTGTAGGAAAGGAGGCTACGGGTCCTTTGAAGACGGGTATGTCAACTTTGTTCATTGGTTTAGAGTTAGTTATAGACAGACAGCCTAAAAAATTATAACAGTAACATTAAAATACTAACGATAAAACATATAGTAAAACTAAAAATACTAACTATTATTGTTATAAAACAGAAAACAAACATGCATCACAGTCACAACTAACCCATAGTCCGTCCATGGAAGCTACCTTTAAAAGACAAAATACTGATATCAGGACAGCCTGGTGCCTATAAAACACAAAACAAAAGGAGACATTACAATATTGTATGCCAACTAAGCACTTACTTGATTGTTCCAAGCACTGTCCAACTCGGCTTGACCTATTGGTGCCCCTCCTCTTTTGTTTTTCTATAGAAGAAAGTTAAACAATGACACCCACCATGCATGTGTACACATTACATTAAAGAAAGTGGTATAATAACATATACATATTTATTACACAATATTTATCAATTAGACTTACCATATACCACATGAAAGCAAGCTTGAGCGCATTCTCATTAGAACAAGTGCCGCACATGAGCTGAACTAGATTATCCATTCCATTTGGTTTGACAGCTAAAAGAGACTTCTTTAGCATATTGAGATAATCGACTGATGGAGCATAACCAAGAGCTGGTCTGGATGAGATAAGAGTAGTGACATCAATTGATTTGACAGCTTCTAATACCGATGGATTATTATACCCTGTTGTAACATGGTAGTATGCATTGTGGTTATGAAAATAGTACAATAAAGAAGAAAGAGAATAAATGTTTTGTCATATGTATTCACTGTTTTGTGTTGTTGTTTACCTAACGGTAGACTCCCAACCTGCTGATAAACATCAAGAAGTACGTTGCCATCAGCATCTACCATGTAGTTTCCACACGACCTCTTGTAATCGACAAATGTTTGAATGGTGTTAGTTAACTGCATTAATAATCATAACACAGTACTGTTTAGACTAAAAGTGAAAGGTAAATACATACCTGAACTTCACCTAAATCTCTCAATCGTTCCTAAAATGAAACAATATAAATGACACTAAACTTCAAAAGAAATGAAATATTTTCTGTTACCATTGTTCTTGGGCCAGGCACAGTGCTGGTAAATACTTTGGGACAAGCATGTTCCCCATCAAGTTCATCAAGGTCTATATACATAATTAAATTCTAAGTTTCCTCACAAAATGCTATGTACACTAACATTTTTTGTTAAATACCGGACCTGCTTCCCTAGCTTTCTCTTGGAGGCTGGCAAAGGAGTTCAGGCGATGAAAAATGGCTGAAGATGGAGCTGAAATCGCAATCCTCCGTCCTCCTGATAGCATCTTTCTCTTCGGTGGTATTTGTCTTTGAATTGAACTTTGTATTGTGATCTCAAGTAATAAGAAGGGACGCTAGAAATTCTTGTTTCATCAGCACACCATTTACCGGTATGTGTATCCCGGCAGCGCAGACAAACAGGTTTGACGCCATTTTGGGAGTGTCGTAAACAACCTGGTTATTAATAGTTATAACCACGCCTTTGTGGGCGTGGTTTCTTATCAACCACGCCCATATAACCATAAACATTGCCTTGTATTTTCACTATTTTTTCTGTCAGTGTCAGTACAGTCATTAAGTTCTTAAGAAGACAAGAAGAGAGGAATAATGGGAGGAAGACTCTCCAGAAGGGTAGAAGTGTTCTCTCCAGAGGTGAACAGTAATCACCCGTACACCTACCCGCCCAGAGAAGGTACAGAAAGGCTTTGCCTTGAGCATACATGTAAATTCAATTTACTTCCTTTTCATACTCAAACAGGTCAGCAGTATTTCTCGAATCACTATCATTTGGGATCAAGGAAGTTTGAGACAGGTGATCCTGAGCATTTCTTGTTCAGTGATCTCAGTGATGTCAACTACATGACGAGCCCACCAGGAGCTGTTAGTAAAGAATAATAATAATAATAATCTCTATTTAGCTATTTTTGTTGTTGTTTTGGCTTTTCGTTTGGTTTTGCTCTCATTCCCCTCATCATGTTTTGTTCGTTGTACATAAACTCTCTCTCTTTCCAGTTTCCTTACAAGCAGCCAGCTAGAAAGAAACCAGTCGAGTGTCTTTCCTCTTTTCTAAACCTTCACAAAGAATCAGTGAAGCTAGTTAGGTAAGTACTTGTACCATTGACTAATGAGGTCCATTTCACTGGGGTTGGTGTGATTTATAGACCAGAAGGTGACTCCTCTCAATACACAATAGAGTTTCTTTTTGATTCTGACGTCCCATGCCAGATCAGTATATTTTTCTCATTGCTGGACGTATCGACAATGGAAGGATTGAGGCATGGGTATGTACATGTATGACAGACCACTTACACTATACATTGTAACTGATTAGACCTCTCGTTGACATTAATTCTGCCGTAGACATCTTTATCAAAACAACCCCATACAATGCGTGTGTGTGTGTGTACATTAACTAAATTACTTTTATTGTGTTTGTTTTCAGTTTCACTGATATTATTATCATTATTTTTTTCTTTTAATTGTGTGCATGTAGTCAGACGACTAGTGCCGTCACGAAAGTATCTCAGAGTTACGTGTACGATAAAGGACTCGAGCAAAATTTTAGCCAATTGTCTTTTGTTTTCAATCCATCAAGGTGGATGGAAGAGAAAGTAAGTTATAAGATCATACTCTTTTGTTATAATTCTCTTTTATAGCTAACGTATAATCCGGAAGAAGGACAGAATCTTTTCCCAGTGTCTATTTTACTGGAGACACAATCAACATCAGGTATGTACACGTACATGTACATGTACATGTACATGTACATGTACGGGGTGGGTGTGTTTGCTATGATTCCACATTGCTAGACTCTCTACTATTATGTATTTGGCATTGTGCTCAGCTTCATCTCAGGGAATTTTTAAAGTTAGGCCAAAGACCAAAGGCTATAGCCTTTAGTCTTTGTGCAAATTTTGTCAAAAATGGCTAAAAGAGAATTCTCCATTTTTATAATTTTTCTGATACATATACATGCCCTTATGTTGTGTAGAAGGTCTGAGCTTGTTTGATCAAATTTGGATTTTTATGAATTTTTAAATGTTGCTCCAAATCCTGTATGTGTCAGCTCATGAAGTATGCTTTTAGCTCGCTTAGCATCCTTTGTGGGAAACCCAGACATCAATGTTCCCACTAGAATGACTACAATACATATTATGACCTTGGTTCCTTTTCATAGATTCAGATTACCAGTCCCTCCTTACTCTTTGTAAGCTGGACAGGTCTGCCTCAAATCCCGACTCATTCACCATCAAAGTACTGAAACAGAAAGTACTCATCGACTCAATGGAATATTTGCTACATGACATATTCGGACTAGAGAATAAAGCTGTGCCTAAGAACGTAAGAGGGGGGCATGGCCACCACCCACTCACTTTAATTAATTCCTAACTAATTAATAACACATTATTTATTTTCTCGTTTAGGCTGAGGATGAAGATAGCGATGATGATGATTCTGATGATGATGATATAGAGTTTGGTGCTGAGTGTGTTATATGTTATACTGACGTACGTGATACAATACTTCTCCCATGCCGTCACTTCTGTATATGCTCATCTTGTGGTGAGTCAATGAAAAACAAGGGGCATTATTATTATTATTATTATTATTATTATTATTATTATTACAGCTGGTGATTTGAGGTATCAGGCAAGTAACTGTCCAATTTGTCGTTCACGTGAGTAAAAGTCAAAGGTTTTATTTTTTATATTGTGCTTCCTCTCTTTTAGCATTTCAAGCGTTGCTTCAAATACAAGCTTTACAGGAACTACCTCCTGATAATAAACCTGATGACGACGAAATAACTGATAATCCTGAAGTATGAAATTACTAGCTTTTTTTGAATTTACCCATCTCTTTTTCTTTTTTCCATTAAGTTGTATTCAGTTCCTGGGTACATGACAGTGTCACTGATGCAAGCTGTTAATGGCTATCCTCGTATTAAACGGAACAAAGACCACAGCACAGCCACAGGTTAGAAGAGGAAATGTACCTTTTATGCATCATTCATATACTAATGCCTACTAGTAATTATTAGTAGATTTCTGGCATTGCAATGCCTGTTGGCAAAACATTGCTAATTAATTCTGTGTGCGTTGTTTTTGGGTGTTCATGTGTGAATTTCCTTTCAATGTATCACATGACTGGCAGGCATTGCGTTGTAATATTTTACTATTTTGGGGGGAGGGAGTAAGAGAATCATTTATTGCCTTCAATATTGTATACTCCTCCTTGAACTTGATTTATTTGATTAGCATTACATGTATGGACATGTAGCTGAATGCCTCCAAAATGATTATAATCCTAAAAGAAGCCCAACTATAGTAAGCTAATTTTTGGCTCAAGACTTTGGCCTGATTTTTTAGCAACATTATAATTCATAAAAATTCAAATTTGGTTAGAATTTGCTCAAACATTCTATGCAACATACATGTAAGTGTGTGTATATGTTAAAAATAGAGAATTTTCTCCTTTTCAATTTTGGCAAAATTTGGCCTGAGATCATGTACATGTACTTTGGCTCGATTTTGGAGCGACTTTAAAAATTACATGCTTTCTCTTTATGCAGATGTTCCTTTGAGCACAGGAGATGAGGATGAGGAGGAAGAAGATGACATGAATACAAGAGAGGGTGCTTCACTACCAATTGGGTATGTTAAAATACTGGTAACCTCTGACCGGTCATTTTTTCAACTGATACAGAATGTTTGTTGTTCGTAGTATAATTTTGATTTAGTCAGTTACAATTGAAACATCTTTAATTTTTATAATACTCTCTGGTAGATCTTCTTTCTCTTTTCTTATCTCACAGCCTAACAGATACAGTGATTATACTGGAAGAGAATGGGATAAGCCTTGATACACACAGCCCCACAGGAGAAAAGGGAGTGGAAGCTATGCCAAAGGAAGAGACAGGCAATGATGAAGAAGGAGAAGTTGAAGGGACCTTTGAAACTGTCATTGAAATGAACGGTGAGACTAAAGGATTGAGAATCACTGCATCAATAGAAGATGACTCCAATCCTAACACTCCGGACCAATCTCTGAAAAGGAATTCCTCTAATTCAACAAGTCGCAGTGGAGGGAGCTCGTCACAGAATAGCATGGACTCCTTCAGCTCTCATGATGTACTGATATCACCAGATAAGTAACTGCATGGACTCTGTCTAACGTGTATCATTGTTATTATTATTATTATTATTATTAATGTCATTCGCTCATTTTAATCTTCTTGCTTGCTTGTAATTAGTATTATTATTATACTATTTTTGATTTTGCATATTAATTTTTTAAGAATGTCTAATTTCAATCATAAGGAAATAGTCTAACTGATAGCGGCCATACAAAATCTAAGAGAGAGATGAGAAAGTGAAGAATGTGCAATAGTAAATATAGCCTCATACTCACCACTTTCTAAAGCAACAAATAAAGGTGTGCAATATTGCTGGAGATACTGTGCCGGAGTGTCAAGCTCCTTATTACACACTAGATACTCTAAAATATCTGAAAAGGAATTAAGCAGCATTACATTGCATAAAGTTGAATTAATACCTTGCTGTATCAAGAGATTGGGCAGTTTCTCGGGTAAAATATCCAGTGTCCGCTTGAGCTCAATCTGCAGTAACAGTACTTATGAAGATGGAGCTGTAGGATACTGACCTGATGCAATTTACTAAGTTGACATCCTAATTGATACATCTTCTCTAAGCAAGTACTAACCTTAAAAAGATGGAAATAATATTGTTAAGTCACAATAATTTTTATTACAATCAGGGAAACTAACAGTCAGCTCTATAGCATCGTTGGTCTGATACACTTCACCTTTAGCAAGAGATGGTAAGTTTAGCTGTCTAGCACTCCACTGTGGATAGAACCTCTGCTCTAGACCAGAGGAGAAATTAAGCAAACGACTGTCACAGAGTAGAGCCCTGACAAAAGAGAATTGAGAATGTATAATTAGTATTACATTTTAATATCATGTATACTTTTGCTTTCCTAGCTCTCCAAGATCAGTAATGACAGTGTTCAGTAATTCCAGTGGAGCCTCAAGATAGTGTATTGCATGTTGTGGGTAAATTAGCAAGATACCAGTTGGGCCATCACCTTGATACTTCAAATGACAGTTTTTAAATATCTTTTCATAATGTCCTGTAAGACAATGAACAGGGATGACAAAGGGAATTAAATGTACACAGCAGAATATGTAAAATTAAAATTTGTTTACCCAGTAAACTGCTATTAGCATACTTTGTATATCTCTCTTATCCAGAATATCTGGGGAAAGTCTTGATACAACGACAATAGAATGAACGAGTTGCTTCTGTTAAGATACAGTAACATATTACATACAGCGTGCTATTATCTTACTCTATTAGCTACTCTCAGTTTCTCTAGTTTCTGGTCCAACATTGAAATCTTGCCTACAGTCTCGGTAGACATCTTTATTTTTCAGTTCCTATGGTAGCAACACATTGTGGGTGTGGTCTCAAGTAATCATGCATGATCATATAGATCATAGATAATGATCATAGCTAATGTGCATGATTTTATAGATTATGTATGGCCCAGCCATAGATATTAGTTTAGAGTATTTACTCTTTAAAATTTGGCCAAAGATCATCTATGGTTCACTAGGAGAATTTTTTTAAATTTTTATCTCAATAGTCAATTCACTAATTCTAATAATAAATTCAAAATAAAATGGCTGCCTTTCAAAATGGCCTTCTATGAAAACCCCTACATTAATGAAAAAGACTAAAGGAGGTTAAAAATGAAGCGTCGTTTCACTGCTGTTATCCCATCTCGTTCCATTGAAGAAAGAAGAACTAAAGCATTTAAGACCAACCCGACTGGTGAGAAAATAAGATGGTAATGAGAAATGTAGTAGATCAGATTTTGAACAGATACATCAGAGGTGATCCCATCAGACACAGAGGCTGCTATTTCTTACGTTAAAAGATTGTTTCCTGCTAGTTTAGGCCCTCCTATTGTCCTCCAACATCAACTCTACAGTCTCTTGGAAGACAAGACATCAGTTGATAAAGAAATAGTAAGTTATTTTAATCATAATAATTATTATTGTGTATTATTAATAAGATATCACTAAAAGATGATTGCAAGTTACGTATTATAAAACTGGAGACCTCGTCTGATGACTATGCACTAATATCACATGAGGACTACGTATCAACAGTTACTAGTTCATTAAGGAGTAGAAAAGGGGAACACCTGGTGGACAAAGCATTAGAGATTCTAATTGACTGTGTTGATGTAACAGTTAGTAAAGAGAAACTCACTAAAGACTTTAAGCTAACCGATAAAGACATTAGGTAATTGAAACAACAAATTATTGTAGTACTTGTACTGTAAGTAGTATTATTTAATTAGATGTTTATTATGCTTATCACATGTTTTTACTTCTACTCCCAACACACCATTCATGCTTTTGCCAGCAATCTAAACATTTTGCTTTCAAATTTTGAATTGCTACATGTACATCCCCCTGATATGCTTTCATAATAATGATACAATTTGTTTCTTTTTCACAGTTTACTAGTAATCAGCGGGGTATTGGTATTAAAGGAGATTGATGGGGAGAGTAGAGTATGGTGGTTCTCTCTTCCTGGGATAAGTAGCTTTAAGAAAGATTTTATCAAAGGTAAGCTGAGCATATTCATGACTGAACTCTTTCCTGTTGCATCAGCTTATACCATCATGTGTCTGATGGTATCTAAACTGTTTTTATAGTAGAATTTTGTTTTTGTGATTCATGTGAACATCATGTGTATTTTGATGCACACACACCACACCACTTGATATAGGAAGATCAGCAATTCTCCAGATAATGAAGAGATTAAAATATAAAGAGATATTGCAAAATGTGAGTTATTTTAAAAGGAACATTTAGCGCATTAGCTCCCTTTCTTTCTTTATATATTTTCTATGGTCTATTAGGATTTAGAGAAGAAGAAACTCTCAGGGACAGTCCTACCAATGGAATATTTTGTGTTAGACATTATTGGATCAGAAACTGTTGAAAGGTCACTCTCACTGTCTCACACACCATTCCAATGATACACATCATCGTTTCATACGACACATCATGTGCTGTAACATTAGTAGTTGTCATAATTATGCTCAATTCTCATACTCATGCCCATATATGGTAGCAAAAATTAATAAATTTGATTATCGCGTTGTGACCTTTTCCTTCCTTTTCTATGCAGCATTGACACTTCGTCTGGGCCATTGCTGCGTTTGCTCGAGTAAAGATAATCATTCTCTCTCTCTCCCTGACAAACAACAGCTGGAGCTCAATAACTTTAAATTATTTATTACTCCATTAATGAGAATCATTGACTAATGATACAAAGAACGAATTATTCATTATAGACAAACATACAATGGATAGAGTGACCTCTGCTGACAACACGGACTAGTTGTTCTTATGTGTATGTGATAAAAATTATATAATGTTGATAATAACAATAACAATTATCTCTATTTGAAAAATTAATCTTAAAATGTTCTTAGATCGTGCGCTACTTTACATTTCCCCCGGCACAGCTCACAGCATGACTGGAAGGGATCGTTGGGTACGTTCTTGGAAAATGGAAAAAGGAAGTCCCTAGGAGATTCTATAGCATACGCATGGCATGCACAGTTTGATGCTAGTGGATTCTTCTTTCCCTTATAAGGAAGTCCGTGGGAAGAGGAGCTATCAGTTCTCCAGTCTGGTGAGGATCGTGTTGAAGTGACTGTTGCGGTGAATCTTTCGTTTCTGCTGCTCCTATTAACTTTAGATCTGTGTGGTGCATTTATTGTTCGTATCTTGTAATGGGACCTTTTGAGTATTACGGGCGAGTGTTTAGGGTCACCAGGTTCGCTGGTCGGTGTGGCCTCACGACTGGAGCCACACGCAGTTCCATAGTCCGAGGTCACATCTACCACTACCATGTCGTCTTGTTCGTAGATTTCTATGGATTTTCCGTCACCCATGACTACCTCAGGAGACTCTTTTCTCCTCCTTCTTCTCTGGGTCAATCTCTCTTCTCTTGTAGAGGAAGAGCAAGAAGATGAAATGGGGGAATTAGAGGAGAGGGTGGGGGAAGGTGAGGGGGAGTTTTTAGACTTAGCATTGGCACTTTCTCTTTCTACATTGGCTCCTGTTGTGTTTTGCTCAATTCTTTGTTGTTCTTTCAGTTTGCGATAAACTTCCAATGCAACGTTTAAAGATTTGATCCATCTGAGAGGAAGGAAGGGTTTGTCATAAATATAGGAAAGGAGAGCTTATGATTACTTTTCACAGTGAGAGAGGGACTCTGCTTTCAAATCATATGTCTTATGGCCATTACAAGTATTGACATTAATAGAGAAGCAGCGTAAAGGATCATAGAGTGAAGCTATGGGGTAAAAGAGGTGTTGATATGGCAAGCATTCATAAGTTTATTACTTACCGGCTCTCATGTGGCCAGCATGAGAAAACCCTCTTTGTACACTGACAACTTCACTTAGTGAGATTTTCTCTTCAACATCTGCAAAACAGAGGCATTATGAGCATTTGCACAATTAGTAAACTCTTTCCATACTTGATGGGTCAATCCTAAGGAGGAGGGAGCATTCAACTTCAGAGAGACAGAGGTAACAAGCTGAGGGGATTCTGCCTGTGTAGGATATAAACTCGTCACCTATTTACAAAAGGGAGAGAGAAGAGACCGTTAACAAGGAGTGAGACAAGAAGAAATGTCTTTAATTACCTTCAATGAGGAGTTTCGAGGAGTCGTACTTGTACTTGCGACATCTTTGACAAATCCTGATTTTCCTTCCATTACCATTGGATATGACGCTACTACAGCGGGAGTGTATCTGGTAGCCACAGAAATGGCAGGTCTTCCTTCCTCCTGACATCCACCAGAAGAACCCAAAGCTTTCACGACAATAGTCACAACTGGAGCCAGAAGAGGGCAAGGAGGGCGGTGGGAATTGTCCTGAGAGCCACTCGCTTCCTTCCCATTCATCGCTACTCTTTCTCTTGGTCATACTGTATAAGGAGAGAGACTCAATGGAGGCTTTGAGTCTTTGGTATAAAAGGATTCACTCACTCCGGCTCCAGCTAGCATGCACGACGAAGCAACGTGTTCTGATCGTGGTGCTGTGGCTAGTACAAAACCTCATTTATACTCTTGCTATGCGTGGGCGTTACTTCAATATTATAATAATAATTGTGATAGGATATTCATAATCATTAATTTTCTTTTGATAAGAATAAAGAATAACTGAGAGCACAATAGACAATACTGATAATAAAATGACATAACTGATACTATGACAGATTGATTAATAAGCTGATACTAAAAAGTAAATCAAAAAGTCCACAAAGATTTAAATAAATATGTCACGAGACCGTATGTTCTGTCCAAAGTTAAGACAGAAAGTGCGCGTAAACGGAATGCAATTTAAGAACCTAAACCCATCCCATGTGTCCTGCTCCACATAAAAGATGAGGAAGAACAACAAATAAAGCAAGATTAGTACTGGTGTGCCAATAAATATAAATAAAATCTTGGACACTTGTATCCAATCCTTCCATGGATTGTATTCCCTCTTGTGTTTGTCTCTATAATATGCTAACTCAGCATCAAGAGGCTGGTAATATGGGACTAGTATTCCACTCCATAGCGTGCCAAATAGAAATCCTCCGAAATGAGCAAAATTATCAATAAAAGGAAAGAGACCGCAGCAGAGGAGAATGATAATGATGATTAGTAGTTTGAGGGCTTCTTTCCAAGGTTTAGTAAGACGGTGTGCCTGATACATAATGTATATAAGAAAGAATGAGATTATACCGAAAATTCCTCCAGCTGGACCAACCTAGAAAGAAATGAGAAAGAATAGCTAGAGCAAGAAATTAGCTAACTCAAACTTCTGGCATAGCATAGCATAGTGGCTTATGTAATGATTTTTTTTGGAGTGTAAACTGAAAATATTATCTTATACAAATTATTCAATGGCCATTAATGGAGTAAATAAACTCATTCCTAATCCTCCAGTAAAGCCCCCTCTTCCCTTTACCTCAGGGTTGTAGGGGACGAATACAGCACTGACAATATTCCCTCCTAGGCCACTCCCTAGATATATCAAAGACGTTCTCAGCCAGCCGAGATACTTCTCAACGTGACGGAGGACAAAGAAGTGAAAGGTAAGAGTGAAGACAAGATGAATGATCCTGTGAAACAAAAAGAGAGAAATTGGGATATGCTCTAGCTGTCTCGACTATCATATTGCAAACACACAGAGGATGTCATACATAATATTAAGCAAATATTACATATACAGTTCTAAGGCTTTTTCTTGAGCTGCCCACAATAAACACAGTACACATAGCTGGATTAACAAGACTAGTAACAACAGTGTAACGGAATCAGTAGAAGTTGTTATAAATTATGTCATGGGATCAACAGAACAGCTCAGCACTGTTACTACTGACAGGTATGCACATTCTCAGTCATGGACAATTAAAAATACTCCATCTCAGACACTTACCCAGCATGAAGGAAGAGAGAAGTAAGCAATCGATAGAACTGGTCAGGCACTTTAGGATAAACAAATGGCAGGAGACCACACAAATCACTTAGGCAGTCAACCTATGCAGCTACAAGTAATATAAGTTACCGTTTTGTTTACTTTACTTGTGAACATAAAAAAGCATCAGCATGAAACCTCCCATCTAAGAAGTCGCAGTGTTCAAGAGTAGTGATGAGACAGTGAGCTTGAATCCCGACACAACACGGGCGCCCAGTCAAGTTGCAGGAGAGGTGCTCCGAAGGACGAGTTTGAGACTCTTGACAAATCTGGAACGATTATTCGATAATGACTTTATTTATAATAATTGGCCCCTCTCTCCTTACCGGCCACTCTGTGATATTTTCCGACATCCATCTTGTATCATGTGAAGGATTAGGATTCAAACAACTCCTGCATAATATAAATAATAGTAATAGTAATACTAATAGAAATGATGCTATAATAACTAACACAAAGGCCTTTAAAAATCATTTATATAGCAGAGCATTTATTTATAGCTCACAACCTCTCTCTCTCTCTCACACACACACTGAGCTATCAAAACTAGCTATGTACACACGGAGGGAAAAATTCCATGGTAACTGCTATTCAAATGTTATTGACAGCTTACAATGGTGAAGTACCACACACGGCCCTGTCAGTAAACACAGTGGAGTCATTCAACTCTTGGTCAATGTAAACAAAGTCAGAAAATAACTCCTAAAAAAGAAATAGAAATGAGAGAGAGAGAATATAATTATCAAAAATTACCGGACACTGCTCACGAGATGTGACCTGAACACAGCCGGAGTTATCTAGCCTTACACAACAGCCGGAGCTATTAGCCTCCCTCCACCTATCAATATCCAACCCTCTTGCCAATTGTCTGTCATATCTCATGCATGGGCCGTATGTAGCCCCAAGCAATACTAGAGCACTCTATACATAATGAAATAAACTAGTGATAATATTATAGTAGTGTTTTATAACAAACTTAGCAACATCAGAACAGGTGAAACTGGGGGAGTCCCCTAGACTAAATTTTAAAATGCCTGTAACTTAATCAGACTAGGCTCAAGCCAGGGCTTCCCCACATAACATGCTAATTGAGCTAAATAGCATGAGCTGATAAGTACTACATTGTATAATTATAGTATAACAGTCCACACAAATGTTCTATACAACATTAGAACATGTATATGCATCAGAAAAAATTATAAAAATGAAGAATTCTCTCCTTGTCGTTTTTGACAAAATTTGGCCAAAGTCCCTGTAAAGGGTCTTTGGCCATATTTTGGAGCAACTTTAAAAATTCGTAAACAATTCAATTATGATTGGAATCCGCCTTAACTTTCTACACAACTTAAGGATGTGCATATGCATTAGAAAAAAATTATAAAAAAGAAGGAATCTCTCCTTGGCATTTTTGATGAAATTTGGCCAAGGACCATATAGTACAGGGTCTTTGGCCAGATTTCTGACTTTGACAATCCCCTGACAAGAGCCTGCATTAACATTATGCCAAAGTCCTGTGGGAAATCCTGGATCAAACTTTCTAAGACATCAATGCCCACACAATGACATCAATGCCCACACAATGACAGCAAAGTTTACCTGAGGGGGTCCACCCCAGACATTAGTTGAAATGTTCTTCTCTTCAACAGCAACAGCAAGATTGCTCTGCTGGACAAGAGCCCTCTCCGTCTTTAGATCGAAACCGTAAGGAGCAAATCCATAGACTGACAGACTGAATACAAGAATGAGTATATGGACTGTCATTAGCCAGTAGGCAAAGAAAGGACTGCAATGAGCAAAAAAGAACATGAGTGATAAAAATACCAAAAGTACATAATACCAAGAGTACATAAAGTACTCTTGATAATATCTAAAGGTATTAGTCTATGTACTTTTAATTAGGTATTGAACTTAGGAATTTTAAGGTATTTAGGTTCTCTTTTTAGGTTTTATGTACTCTTGATATTACTATAATCTGTAACTGGCTAACCGATGAAGTGAGGGCTGCTCCATTTCAGCTAATCTCTGGCGAGTGTCTGACTTCACGTTCTTATAGTTAAAGTTAAGTAGTCTCAGTGTGACTCCTCTCAGTGGACCTCGGTAGTGTTTGGCTTTCCTCTCACTTTGACGCAAGAGCTTCTTACGTCTCGGTTTGACTTCTATATAAATCACAAAAATAAATAAAATATAATTTTAAAAATTTGACCTTTAGGTATGTGGTCTAATGTATCATATTGTGGTGGGGGTTCATCTGGCACTTCAAACTTGCGCCTAATAAAATTGAAATGTGAGATTGCTGTTGCTATACTCACCTGGCAATTTGACCATCTGTCATTTCCCTGCCAAAGAGATTATCATCCTAAGGTAGAGTAAAGAGAGAGAGAGTGAGAAAGAGAGGAGAGAGGGAGAGGAGAGAGAGAAAGAGGGAGGGAATGAGAGACAAAAACATTCTTTACCTCAAACAAAACAAAATCAGGGCTCTTGGTGCTATCTTCCTTCTATAAAATAAGAAAAGATGTAACACATACCACACAAGCCTCTCTCCTTTCTCTTCTTTCCTCTCTACCTCATATTGTATCTTCTTCAATGCTATTCCTCCTCCATCAATATCACTCATTTCACCACTGTCCACTTCTTCAACATTAAGAAATGACTCCTGATGGGTCCACTGTCTCTCTGCAGCAGTTGCCTGACTTGGCTCTCCTTCTTCTGGCTCCTTCTTCTGCCAGAAATAGAAATAAGTGACATTTTCTTACTATTTATATTTTTCTCTAAAATAATGCTCTCACTTGTGTTGATAAGTACGACAAACTCATCAGAGCAATTTTAGCAATCTTCCATAGATCTGGTTTAGGCTCAATAATCTGGAGTTCCTCAGGCTCCGCCTCCAGTCTACCAGTTGGACGGGAGAGATAAGCTCTTCTCTGGAGCGTGGATGAGGCACCAGTGGCCAACGACACTCCCATAGTTGACCTAGTCGGAGCACTCAGGCTACGCTCAATACGAGAACTTCCCGTTGCTGTACTTGAGTCAGGGACAGGCTCACTAGTTTGGTATCTATAAGAAGGATCAATGGCTCTCATTGGTATTGATTCATGACCACCAGCTGAAGGAGGAGGTGGTGGAGTTGGTAGAGCAGGACCTTCAGCGGCGGTCTGGTGTTGGTCTGGTTTAACGCTTAACTGTCGCAGTAAGGAATGTGTCGTGACTGGTGCGACTATTAGAGAATAAAGAAATTATTAGTAGAGAAATAGTCAAAACAATATTATAGTTCCCAACCAATAAAAATAACATAACAAAATATGTACATGCAATATTCTACATATCAGTATCAGTATAATGTTAACTCTATTCATCTTTCCCTCTATACATGCATACATATTTGTCTTTACCAGTTTCATGAGGAACAATAGCTTCAACAAGTGACTTATCACAATCCAGTTGTGCCTCAGTACTCTTTAGTCTCTTCACTCTCTGCTCCATCTTAGCCACCACTATACTCCTCTGTACATGTTCCTGATGCTCTTGCGTTGACTGGGGGTGCTCTAAACCAACAAACTGAAGAGCTTGACTAAAGGAAGAAACATTATTGATGCAAATGTACATGTATATTAATTATCACCTCTTCACAACTCTCCTAATTGTGTCCCATTTGTTTTCATTTTTAGGTTGAGGAGGAGTAGGACTAGCTGGAGGGACAGGTCTGTCCTCTGGGATACTCTCTAATGTTGGTAATGCAGAAGTTGCCATCTTTTGCTGCGGTCAGCCAAGCAAGTGACAAAAGAGTTAAAAAACAAACACATTATTTAATAACTTAACCTTAATATAAAGTGACGCCATCTAACTAACTATAATATAGGCGTAGCTCAAAATGGCATCCAACGAGAAAGGTGTGGCTGGTGACAATCTTGAAAGCACGCTCCAGTATGCAAAGAAGGTATTTACTGAGAGGCTAGGAGGATCTCCGTCAGTAGTAGCGTATGCTCCAGGACGCGTTAATCTCATTGGAGAGCACACTGACTACAACAATGGCTGTGTTTTTCCTATGGTAAGGTCCTTAAATGCATCACGTGACACTTTACTCTAATCACGTGACTATAGGCACTCCAGAGGGTAACGGTTATAGTTGGTCGTCCGCTGTCCAGTGGAAAGGATTGTCGTATCATCACGACTGCATTCTCAGAGGACAATGATGTCACTTTCTCTCTCCCTCCTCCTCCAACAGATGAAGAGTATCAGGACAAGACCTCGAGGATGCCCCTCTCTTCTCCTTCTTGGACCCGCTATGTAAAGGGTGTGGTTGCTCTTCTCAGTAGAGGAGTCTCAGGGGGTGTGCCTCCATTTGAAGCAGTCATCAACTCGAGCGTACCTTTGGGTGGGGGCGTGTCTAGCTCAGCCTCTTTGGAACTGTCGGTTTGTTTGTTTGTGGAGGAGCTCTGTCGAAGAGTGGGTGTGGTCCTGCCGACCTTTACCAATCCGGTAAAATATAGTTATATTTTATATGTAATTACATTTACATGTACATTAATATTGCTAGATAGTCTTAATACTTTAGTCTTTATAGGAAAGAGCCTTATTATGCCAAAGAGCTGAGCACATGTATGCTCATTCTCCTTGTGGTATCATGGATCAGTTTGTGTGCATGATGGCAGAGAAAGATAAAGCACTCTTCATTGATTGCCAGTAATAATTAATCCTCATTTGTTCCACTCCTCATTATTATTTTATTTTCCAGACCCAATAACGATGGAACTTTCACTGCTGAGGGGGTTCCCCTTGATTTGGAGAAGGAGGGGCTTGTTGTCATGGTGACAAACACTAACGTCAAACACAATGTGGGTGGTGGAGAGTACGAGAAGAGGCGTGACCGTTGCTATGCCGCCTGCGATAAACTTGGAGTAAAGACACTGAGAGATGTTAAAAATTTGGAGGAGATTGAAAGTAAGCAAGTAAACCCTGAGCTCCTCTACTAACGTTGTGTGTTTAGAATTGAAGACTAGTCTCTCTGATCCTGTTCCTGATGGACCTACTGAGTACCAGTGTGCTGTGCATGTTGTGAGCGAGATACTCCGAACCATTGAGGCTAAAGAAGTATTGAAAGGAGGAAACTTCAGACATTTTGGAAAACTAATGAACGAGAGTCACGAATCACTAAAGTAACGAAGGGTTATAGTTGAAGCGTGATATCTACTTAATGTTGTTTGATTAGAAATGTTTACAAAGTGAGCTGCTTTGAGTTGGATTGTCTTGTTGAGCTGGCAAGGCAGGATGAGCGAGTTTATGGATCTCGTATGACTGGTGCTGGTTTTGGAGGTTGTACTGTCACTCTCCTCAAGAAAGAGGCTGTGACTGAGACCCAGAAAAGAATCCAGGTTAGTAGACACTGGCATAGTAGAAAAGCCTTATACATGTAACATGGTATTTCATCAAAAAAGCTACATGTACATGTAAGTGATTCCCAAGCAAGTTTTCAAAAAAAGGTTTAGGCTATGTAATAAATAGCCTTTGCTATTTTTGAGTTTTTAAAAATGCTCATAACTTGAAAATTATTTGTCGGAATCAGCTGAAACTTTCTACACAGCATAAGTACATCAATATATATCAGAAAATGTAATAAAAATTGGGGGGTGATTTTTTAGCCATTTTTTGGAAAAAACCATGGGCTATAGTACAGGGTATTTTTCAAAAATTGGCCGATTTTTAAAATGGCCGTAACTCGAAAAGTTTTAGTCAGAATCAGCTGAAACTTTCTACACAGCATAAGTACATCAATATATATCAGAAAATGTAATAAAAATTGGGGGGTGATTTTTTAGCCATTTTTTGGAAAAAACCATGGGCTATAGTACAGGGTATTTTTCAAAAATTGGCCAATTTTTAAAATGGCCGTAACTCGAAAAGTTTTAGTCAGAATCAGCTCAAACTTTCTACACAGCATAAGTACATCAATATATATCAGAAAATGTATTAAAAATTAGGGGTGATTTTTTAGCCATTTTTCAGAAAAAACCATGGGCTATATATAGTACAGGGTTTTTTCAAAAATTGCCGATTTTTTAAATGGCCGTAAGTCCAAAAGTTTTAGTCGGAATCAGCTCAAACTTTCTACACAGCATAAGTACATCAATATATATCAGAAAATGTATTAAAAATTAGGGGTGATTTTTTAGCCATTTTTTGGAAAAAACCATGGGCTATAGTACAGGGTATTTTTCAAAAATTGGCTGATTTTTAAAATGGCCGTAACTTGAAAAGTTTTAGTTGGAATCAGCTCACACTTTCTACACAGCATAAGTACATCAATATATATATCAGAAAATGTATTAAAACTTAGGGTGATTTTTGAGCCATTTTTCAGAAAAAAAACCATGGGCTATATAGTACAGGGTATTATTCAGAAATTAGCTGATTTAAAAAAATGGCCATTTTAGTTGGAATCAGCTTAAACTTTATACACAGCATAAGTACATCAATATGTATCAGAATCATTAGTAGTAGTAGTAGTAGTAGTATTGTTTTTGCCATTGTTGACCCTGTACTCTTGGTAATAGTAATAGTATATTGCCATGCCCATGATAATGAAGATGTGATAAAAGGTCACACCTCTTTTTTGTGTTTGCTCCTTTAGGAAGGATATGTTAACGAAAAAGGAGAAAAGATGAATGCAACCTTTTTCTTGGCCACCCCATCCTCTGGAGCAGGCATCATTAAAAACATCTAAACATTACTCTAAGAATGTAAAACGCTGTTTTTGTTTTTTTGAAATTTTAAACATTATTAATAACACAATAGCCATTATATCAATATAGTTGCACTAAAAGTAGACAAGACTCAAATATTAAAGCGGCAATGTTCAATTGAAAGTTTTTTATTGAATTATTTAGTCATCATCATCACTGCCAATAGTAATTGGTAGTACAATAGCCAGTATTATCAATACTAGCAGAAGAGTTCCAATTGATATAGAAACACGACTCAATATTCTTGTAGCCACTGCCTCCCCCCAAGCATTGCCAACATTCCCAGCAGCTACACTCTCCTTAGTCTAAAATAAAAAAATAATAATAATAAGAAGAAGGACAATATAATAATAGAACATGATGGGAATGTAAAGAAAAGGGACAGAAAGGAGAACTAATAGAATTATCATTAAGTTAAAAGAAGATAGAGTCAGGGGAGAATGCTGAAAAGTGTCCATTAGTAGAGCTGCATTACCCATAATGATACTAATTATTAATGTCCTACCTTATTAGCCATGTAGAGTGCAAGGAGACCCAGTGGGAAGAAGCAGATGACAGCTATGACAGCAAGATAGGTATAATCCGGTGGGGCAACAATTCTTCTCTGATATACAATAGGCTGAGCTTGATGGACCTGGAGATTAGATACGTGAGTTTACATCTTTTTTACACTTAATTTTTAAACTTCCTGCCAAAGACCACATGATGCTTTTTGTTGTGAAAGGCCATTTTCTGATACACATGCATGTACTTATTTTATTTAGAGAAATGACTATGAGATGTATGTGCGTATGAAAACTACTCCAGTTATCAAAACAATAAAAATATATTTTCTTTATCAATAGCTATTCATTTTCTGTGACCATGTATGGTAAAAGGGGCAATCAAGTCGAAAAGGCTCAAACATTGAAAACGCAAAAGGACTGTGTTTTTTCTCTCAATGCTCCATTGTTAAAAGGGAAAAACAGTAATTCTACATAACAAAGGTATATACATATCAATAATGACAGGATTTTTGACCAACTACAAGACTGATCTAACAGTGGAAGTCTAATTCTTCACAAACTAGCAGAGTCTAAAAGATATGGCTTTGAAGAAATTTTGAAATACGCCCATACTTCACACTATCTCTGGTTATTTATAGAACTCACAATAATCGTGTTTTGATGTGTTTGTTGAGGCGCTTGTTGATAATAAGGTGGAGGAGGCTGACCGTAATTACGAGGATCAGGTTGACCTGCATAGAAAGGAGATTTACTTCGTGTTTAATATTTAACTACCTTGAAGAAGCTTCTCTCTGTCAGCCATGATTTTTTGGCATAGATTTGTGATAAATAATATTACGTCATTATACCACGCCCAACATGCAAGGAATTTCAAGATCATGAACAAAGTTCCATGTTTCATGAACTTTTGGACTTTTGCTTGAACTTTTCATAATCTTAAATTTTTCATTAACTTTTCATGAACATTTCAATGTGATAGCACCACCCACATGCATAAGCCTATACATAATTAATTGGAATTTAAGCTGAGGGGTGAGACGAAGTTAATTTCCCCTGGGGTTATCCAGTCATGTCTATTGTGCATCCTCAGATAAGACTATACAACTTTGCTTTTAACTACTTACCTTGAAGAAGCTCAATGGTCTCCATGAGAGCTATGAGGGGGTGGGGCTGCCGTATGCATAATATTGCATGTGTTACGTATGCATTATGCATGAGTAGTGTTAATGAGAAAAGTAATACTGCTCATTGAATCTGAAATAGGATTGAAATCCCACAAGATTTAATATAAACAATAGTTATTTTTATTGCGAGGGGAAAACACTATAATAGATAGTCTTTAAAGTCAAAATAACACAATAATCCTTCATGTACACACACACAGGCAGGGAGGATTACAGACTCAGTGGTAGCACAATAGCTAGTATTATCAATGTCACTACGAAAATCCCAAAAGAGATGGAAATACGGCTTAGGACTCTGGCAGTGATGGCTTCACCCCAAGCACTATCAATATTACCTGCAGCTACACTGTCCTTTGACTACAAATTAAAAAAATAATAAAAAAAGAATAAATTAAACTAAGTGCAGTCTTCCTGACCTTGTTTGCCATGTACAATGCAAGGAGTCCAAGTGGAAAGAAGAAAATAGTCCCAATGATGGCATAGTAGGTATAATCAGGAGGAACTAGGACTCTCCTTTGATAGACCACTGGTTGAGCCTGATGCACCTGTCAGAAATGCATGGGATATCTAAATATAGTACTACTTGGTATGCATCACAGTTATTCTATATTAAGGAAGTACAGAATGGTAAAATAAACAGTCATATGACTACGACACTGTCACTTAGATAGTATTAATTAGGAAGTGGATGATATCATGAGTGATACTGATATTTATTTCTGTGAACTATGAACTTGGTATCAGGCCCGTAGCCAGGGGGGGTTCGGACGAACCCCCTGTTGTAGCTGCAAAAAAGTTTTAGATTAAAGGCTGAGATGCGTAAATTAAGACCACGCCTACAAACCACGCCCATTTTCGTCAAAATTTTCGCTGCGCGCTTCGCGCGCAGCAATTTCCGAACCCTCTATTTCAAGTTCCTGGCTACGGCCCTGGGTATAGTTTGTAAAATCCCTTCTACAAAAATATGATTAAAATTATTAGCAATGTACAGCACAATTAGACTACTGCACAATAATCATTTTGCTAGCCTGTAATGTATCACTGATGTAACTTAGTATCTAGACTAGTTACTATATATATATCATTCATAGTGAAGATTTGCACCCAAATGAGCTTACAAGTATTGTGTTGGCTTGAGAAGGAGGGACATTAGGAGGTGGTGGCTGCTGTCCAGGCCCTGGCTGGTAGTAAGGAGGAGGGGGAGCAGCTGGCTGGCTATAGGAAGGTGCTGGTGCTTGACCTAAATCAGTTTAACATACATAGTGAATGAGCTATTTCTCATTCTTTCTGACCTGCTCCAGAAAGAAGTCTACTTTTATCTTCGTTTTTATCCTCCATATCAAAAGCGTGGGCGATTTGACCTTTTGACGCATGCTTTCCGCTGGAATAGAACCAGATTCTATTCCAGGGGCGTTACTAGAATGCGGATCAGTGCGGATTGCTGCGGATCGTTCCGCACGCTGAACCAAGCACGTGAACGCGCGGAACGTGCACGGGCCTGTGCCTAGAATGCGGATCAACTCCCAAGAATTCAGAATATACACCATGATAACTTCCCGAGGATCAGTCCTCTTGTTCTTCTATTCCATTCAATTTTTATTTGTTGCAATGTTTAACTGTTTATAAAGTAAAAATAACTATTTTTAAATGTAATAATTTTAAACTTTGAATGTACGAGATTTCAGTAATGATATCAAAAGCCTTCAGTCATTGGTCATAGAATAGATTATACTGCATCTAAATCTAGTTGCAATGAAATGAGTTACAATCTGCATTGAAAACAAACATATAGTTGTAAAATTTAAACAATAAAAGTCGCCTCACAAATAACAATTATTTTCATTGTGTAAAATGATTATTATGATATTACCAAAAATATAAAATATTCTATTGGCCAAAAATTGCTACCACCCACTATATCATTTTTCCTCACAAAGATATTTTTATTTGCATTGGGATGCATGTACAAATATAGTTTTAAAAATGAGGTCTTTCAAGTTGTAGATTGCTGCATGCATGCTTCATATCAAGAGTACTGTATCTTGCTTAATTGCTTCATAGCTATGTCAGTAGTAAATCCGAAATTTGTCAGAATAGATACAACTCAG